AGTCCCAGTACCAACTAGATGACCAGATAAGTGAATATCTATTAGGAAAGACGTAAAATTCTTTCCTATGAACGACATAAGAGTAGCAGATCTCCTATATGCAGCCAGGCTCCATCATGTCCAGGTTCATATATGACATGGAATTCACATAAATCCATGCATTTTAAAGTTGAATCAATGCAACTTTATGCAATAGCTATTAGCTATCATTCAAGAAGAAACGAAAAAAGAATTCTTAGAATAAGCAACTTCCGAGAAAATTAGCACAGCAACATTAAAACACAAAAACTAACAAAAAGATGCGTACCATCAAGACCCCAGCCTAGATAAAGTGGGGTGATACCAATAGCATCCCTGGCTGCAATAAAGCTTTTGTCACGAGTATCAAGAAGGACAAATGAAAACATGCCATCCAACATGTCAACAAACTCTTCTCCATATTCTTCATACTGCCAATGGTAAGCAACAAAATTTAATTAAAGAGAAAATGAGGTGGACAAAATAATAGGGTTCAATACTGTAGGGCCAAAATACAATTTCAGAAAATTATCAAGTTCTTTAAGCTTTACCTAGCAGAAACGGTAGCTAAGATAACAAAAACAAGGTAAGACAGGAATTTTTAGTTAACTACATCCACTGTCCGCGGTGCTAACAGAAAATGAAGCAACTTTGCAAACTCATGCACTTACGAGATGAGCAATCACTTCACAGTCGCTTCCAGTTCGGAACTGATGGGACTTCAACTTTTCTCTCAACTGCTTATGGTTATATATCTCCCCGTTAACCTGAAAACGGAGTTTCATCAATTGATGCATTACAAAAGGTTAGATAATAATGCTGCGATTGAACAAGTACTCATCTAAACCTTCTTTCCCCAAGTCTAGCAATACTCAGTGGAATAGACATCAAATTGGCGAAAAAAGAACAGCAAAGCTTAAGAAATGCATCATCACGAATCAACTTGTTGCAAGTCAAAAAGAAAATGCTAAATAATTCTCAAAATACTTCCACAAACTCATCAAAAAGAACTCAAGGAAGCAATTTCTTCCAGACACGTATGCAAGCACGTGTTGTACAAGAAAATAGAGAATAATTGTGTCTATAAGACAAACATGAATATGCATATAACTCATTTTCTGAGACTGGCAGATGAAATAAAAGCTTATTGAAACATATGTTCTCAAACCATCTATGAGGTACTAACAAAATTACCGTGACGATTATTGTTTTATCTTCATTGTAGAGTGGCTGATCCCCTGAAGTCGGATCTACTATAGCCAGACGTTGGTGAGCAAGGTAGCAATCCTCATGACAATGCAAACCACTCCAATCAGGACCCCTGTGGCGCAATCTACAAACCCAAATCAATGCATTAGGCGTCTCTAACATTTCTTTCTCAGTAATTAACTGAAAATACTCTGTTTAAATCTTCAAAAGAACAAACTATATTAATAAAACTTCAAAAGTCTCAATATATGAGTTTATTTCCTATTAATTTTTTCCAGGTAACTGAGACACGAAAATAACATAAACTAAACGACTAGTTTCGTCACTTACAAACAGAATTCTGAACTACTGTCAATTATCCAGAATTACTAGCTTTAATCCCCATTTTCTTCTGAACTACTCAATTATCCCGAATTAATAGCTTTAATCCAAATTTTCTACGCAAATGATTTCAGAAGCCCAGAGATTTGTATACACGTAGAAAAAGAATGAAGGATTCCGTCGATACTTCCAATTTTTTTCTTTTTTCTAAATCCAGTATTTATCCACATTTGCTGATTAACAGAATGGAAGATGAAACATGTAATTGAAATAAACAAAGAAAATTCAATTACGTAAGAAGCAAACTAAACAGACTACGACATCTTCTCCTCCTCGATAACGTTATATTCATGAAAATAACGCCAAACAAATTTTTTTCGAGGAAAATAAAATAAAAATGGCAGAACGTGAGAAATAACTCTTCTATGTAACAATTCATATCATCAACAAAGATCCCCTAATTAAGCACTCAGTTTTCACCGTCGAGACAGCTCGATGATACGGGAGCGTTTTGCTTGAGAGGTGTCAATGCAACCAAGGACTGCAAGAATCCCACACATGGCGACTCGTCTCTCTAAGTTCCTGTCTCTTAGAGAGGAAAATGAGAAGGAAGCGTGAGATACTTTTTGAGGATGGAGGCTGGCAATTGGCAGCTGAATATGATGGATTTGTAGGGGATCTTTAATCACTGCCGTTGATCTTTAATCACTCAGTTTTAAAAGATTCACCTCTTTTGATTTTTTTTATTAACATAAAATAAAATATTTAATGAATTTAGTTGCTATTTTTGGTCCTAGAATTGTTAGGGTTTCTGTCGTTACTTAAGACTCGTGCGTGAAAGATTCTCGCTCGAGGGAACAGTTAAAGTGGGCCTGATCTGGATCCGCCGTCTCTGACCCACATCGTAACCTATGGCTCCGTAAAGACGTCATGGACACAGTATTAAATATTTTATTTACAAAGAGTAAAGATAATTGAAGTACATTTTTTTTTACAGGCTTCAGCTGTCAAATTTAGTATTTTATTTTTAATACTATAATTATACTTTTAATTTTTAATTATTATTTAGTTAAGTTATCTATTAAAATAAATAATTTTAAAAAAATTATCACCGTATAACTTTTATATTATAAAAATTAATAATATGATTATTACGTAGATTAAATTTACAAAGGACCTTATCAAAATTTTAATTATCTTTGTACAATTTGGAGTAAAAAATAGATAAAATATAACTAAAAATAGTCTTTAATGAATCAATTTAGATAATATAAAATTAAATAATTTTGAAAAAAAATATTAATCAACAGTTACATAATTTAACTATTTTAGATGTAGTCTCCTCTACCAGTTCCGGGGCGAACAATTTTCTATCGTCCACTTCTTCCCAATAAATCGGCGATTTGCATGGGCACCCATATAATACCTCATACGAAGCCATGTCAATACTCGCTTGGTAGCTGTTGTTGTAGGCGAACTCTATCAGGGGTAGATGATCGTCTCAATGGCCCTCGAAGTTAAGGACACAAGCTCGGAATATATCATCAAGTGTATGGATTGTCCTTTCTAATTGTCCATCAATCTGATGGTGGAAGGCAGTACTGAGGGATAGCTTTGTTCTCATGACTTGCTGAAAGGTACTCCAAAACTGAGAAGTGAACCTGGGGTCGCTGTCGGACACCACTGTGATCGGGACTCCATGCAATCTGACTATTTCCTTTATATACATTCTTGCTAATTTGTTCAAGGGATCGGCCATCCTGATGGCCAAGAAGTGGGAAGACTTGGTAAGCCAGTCAACAATTACCCAGATGGCATCATGTCCTGAACGTGCCTTAGGTAACCCTGTCACGAAGTCCATGGTGATATGTTCTCACTTCCACTCCGGGATTGGTAATGGCTGAAGTAACCCACCTGTGCGCTGATGCTCTGTCTTGACCTGCTGACGTACCAAGCATTTAGACACAAAGTCAGCTATGTCTCTTTTCATCCCATTCCACCAAAACCGGAGTCGCATGCTTTGGTACATTTTAGTGCTTTCGGGATGCATAACAAACTTTGAGCTATGGGCCTCTGTCATGATGTCTCTCTTTAACTCACTGTTACCTGGAACACACACCCTGTCCTAGAATCGGAGTAACTTATCAGCGGAGACTCAGAATTCTGAGCTAACTCCCTGTTCTGTATCGTTCTTGAGGGCTACTAAGGCAGGATCAGCTGACTGAGTTTTCCTTATTTTCTGGATTAACTCAGGCTGGACGGTCAGATGACCCAAACATGTGACTCTCCTCAAGTCCTAAAGTCGAACCTATTGTGTGGTGCTAATTTGCCTGTATTCTGAAACCATCAAATGGGCTAAAATACCTGCACTTTTTTTACTGAGTGCATCGGATACCACGTTACCCTTATCCGGATGGTACAAGATATCACAATCATAGTTCTTAAAAAGTTCTATCCACCTTCTCTGACGCATGTTGAGATTCTTTTGAGTGAATATGTGTTTCAAACTCTTGTGATTGGTATAGATTTGAAAGGTCTCTCTATATAAATAATGACGTCAAGTCTTCAAGGCGTGTATGATTGCGGCAAGCTCTAAGTCATGGGTGGGATAATTTTTCTCATGACTCTTTAACTGTCTGGACCCATAGCTATGACCTTCCCATGCTGCATTAGAACACAACTCAGGCCTAGATAGGAGGCGTCACTGTAAACTGTATATCCCCCCGATCCACTCGGTAAAGCCAGCATAGGTGCAGTAGTCGGCTCCGCTTCTTTAGTTCTGAAAAACTTCTTTCACAGTCCTCATTCCACGCAAACTTGGCATTCTTCTTGGTGAGTCGGGTTAGGGGAGCAGCTAGACTAGAAAATCCTTCACAAACTCCGGTAATAGCCCGCCATTCCCATAAAGTAACATATTTCTTTAACTGATTTCAATTTCTCTCAACCGAGCACCGCTTCAACATTTTCAAGATTCATTGATACTCCATCCTTTGAAATGATGTGTCACAAGAAGGTGGTCTGCTCAAGCCAAAATCTACACTTACTCAACTTTGCATATAGCTTCTTTCTTTTGAGAACCTGCAAAACCTGAGCTAGATGGTGAGCATATTCATCTCTGCTTTTTTAATAGAACAGGATATCATCGATGAACATGATAACAAATTGATCTAAGAATTGTCTGAAGACCCTGTTCATCAGATCCATGAAGATGGCTGGGGCGTTGATTAGCCCAAATGGCATGACCAGAAACTCATAGTGTCCGTACCTAGTTCGAAAAGCCGTCTTGGGGATGTCTTCTGTCCTTATTTTCACCTGATGATAACCTGATCGCAGGTCTATTTTGGAGAAGACCTATGCACCCTGCAACTGATCGAAAAGGCCATCAATCCTGAGAAGGGGATACTTATTCTTGATTGTGACCATGTTCAATCCTCTATAATCAATACATACTCTCAACGTTCCATCTCCCTTTCTGGAAAAAGTGACTCCGGCACCCCAAAGGGACACACTTGATAAAACCACTGTCTTGCAATTCAGTGATCTGTTTTCTCAACTCCTCCATCTCAACGCGGCTCATGCAGTAAGGAGCAATCAAAATAAGCTGGGTGCCTGGCTGTAGATATATAGTGAACTCGACTTCCCTGTCCACTGGCAGTCTGGGTAGTTCATCTCGAAACACATCTAGAAGGTCTCGAACTACCAGAATCTCTTGAATACAATTCTCTTTCTTGGGTTTGCCTAGTTAGAGAAAATAGCAAGGTTAAGGTACTCAACGAATAAGAAAACTTGCCATCAAGGAATAAGTACTAAATGATTTTATTAATTTGTAAATGGCTCCTCATTAAGAGGATTAAATACAATCTTCTTGCTAAAACAATTTACGGTGACGTGATACACCGCTAGCCAATTCATCCCTAAAATTACATCAAAATCTCCTGTATCTAATTCTATTAGGTCTACACTCGATTTTTTATTTGCTATCTCTACGGCACAAGCCTCGTAGACAACTTCTCCCAATAGTGCTACACTCCCAGCAGTAAACACAAATAATGTTGAATCAAGTTTATCAGGTAATATATTAAATTTTAATGCAAAAACAGGTGAAACAAATGAATGCGATGCACTAGTGTCAATCAAAACATGAGCAAGATGGTTACAGATAGTATACATACCCTGTACCACGTCTGGGTCGGCTTCAGTATCCTGCTGGGTGAGATTGTAAGCTCTGCCTTGAATAGGAGGTCTGCCCTGATTCGGGTTCCTTGGGCACTCTCTCGCATAATGTTGGGCACTACCACATATGCAACAAGTGTTGTTGAGGCGGTAGCAGAGTCGGTCCCCGTGATCCCTACCGCAATGTTAATAGATCTTACCACGTTCTACCACTGGAGCCTGAGGGGGAGCTTGGATCACCGACCTGGGTCTCTTGTTCTGTTGAACAGATACAGTAGGTACTGGTCTGCGGGGTGGAGCTGAGGGTCTGAGGTTCCCTACTGCGTGAGGGAGGGTGTGGAAGCTCCTCTCCACTAGTTGTACCTTGGCCAGAACGGCCGAATAGGTCTTGAGCTCCAGCACGAACAAATACTGCCTGATCTTTAGGCGGAGGCCCCACTGAAATCTCCTATCATTCCTGCCCTCATCCAACAGCGTCTCAGGGGAGTATCGGCCCAACTTCAGGAACTTACGAGTATATTCTGACACAGTTATGTTCCCCTGGACTAAGTGGACGAAGTCCATCTCCTTCAGATGTCGGAGATACTCTAGGAGGTACTCTGCATGAAAGGCTGCTAGGAACTGTTTCCAAGTAACTGGAACGGGCAGGGTGGTCTGCTTGAGTTCCCACCAGCAGTCTACTTCTCCCACTAGCATGTAGGTAGCAAGGGTGACCTTCTGCTCAGAAGTCACCCCTAAAGTCTTAAAGGCTTTCTCTGTCTCTGCCAACCAGTACTCAGCATCTTCAAAAGAGGATCTCCCTGCAAAAGTGGATGGGTTTAGTCTCTTGTACTTCTCTATGTAGCCCGGGTCAATCGTAAGAGGAACTGAGTCCCGTGAAAAAGGGACTGGGCCATACTGATGGTAGACTGGGGGTCCCTGTGGTGGTACTTGTTGATACAGCAGGGGCACCGGATTATACTATGGCAATGGTACTGTGTAGGAGTAGGGTTGTACCGGGGTGGCTTAGGATCCTCTTGCTGCAGTGGTGGCTCAACCTGTGGTAGCGGGGGAGAGTCAGGTAGCTCCCTCCTCTCCTCTCGGTCATGCTGGGTTGCAATGAGTCTTTCTAACATCTCAAATATACTGTCTACGTTTTTCCTGAGCGAACCCTCCCGGGCTACTCGGTTTAGTGGGGGTCTTCCTCTTCTCATCTCTCTGTATCTGCATTTCACAAGGAAGGGTTAAGTGATAATTCATTGTTTAGTGTTTCTCTAAGTATTATTGTGTAAGGGACAAGTCTGAAAAACGCGGCTTTGATACCAACTGTAACGACCCCGAAAATTTAAAAAGAAAATGCATATAATAATTTGAGTGCAGAAGTGAAATAAAGGTTAAGGTTAACATCTCTTATACGGTAACTCAAAAGTACTAACAAACATCACAAAACAAATTCTCTGAAAAAAATACGAAAAATGAAAAAAAAAAAGAAAAATAAACTATAAAGTATCTAGCATCTACCCGTAGCCTTCTTGTGGATCGGGCTCGGGAACCGGGTCCTCCTGATCTGAAATGGTTAAATAAGGGGTGAGCTACATTAACCCAGTAAGGACATCACACTATATCACCGTCATAGAAGCAAAAGTTGGTAGAAAATCAAAACAACCAATGGAGCAGTAGATTTAAACCAATATATTTATTTAAAATAAAACTATTTACCCATTTCTTACCATTTGAGAATTTATGGAAACAATTTATAAAAGCAATAATATCATACAAATCACAATTTCATGCAAAATCAATAACACAAAACATATCATAAATTTGTATTTATTAACAATAATTAATCATCACCGTTTCTCGTGTCACCAGCTTACTAGTATCCATGGGAATCCATAGGAGTATCTCCGCTACAGTGAACCATTTTCCTTAACAATCTTAATTCTAGGGCCGTCCCTATACCCCGTTCGATATGAGCACCAAGACATTAAACCTCAATACCCCGCCCGGTATGAGGGTGAAGCGGACCGTCCCCATACCTCGTCCGGTATGAACGCCAAATGACCAAGTCTCCATACCCCGTCTGGTATGAGACAACGTTCACGGTAGGGTTCCCTATGAACCCGGTCCGTCCACCATCTCCCAGGATGTCTAGTGAGGCTGTCGCCTTATCTGTTTATTAGATCATATCCCTTTCCTATTTATTCTTAATCTCCGTTACCAAATTAAATACAATCACATAAAAAATAAACATGCACCCGGTAATACAATCATATCTTAAATTCCAAAATCACACAGTGGTCAAGTAATACAGTAATACATGAATTTAAAACTCTAAAACCAAATACCATCATGTCTTTAAACTGTAAGATAATTTAACAGGAATCAACAAAGAACAATGTCCGATTTCAGGCTCCATTAACAATCCGTAATTAATTATGCATATTTATCTAATTTGTACAAAAGATCATATTATTATTTAATCAAACTTCACATTTATGATAGGAAATAGGGTGAGAGGTCCTTACTTGATTCGACACCGAAAACTAGATGGTTATTGCGCTTATGGGCGGTCCCTAGTTTCCTGAATTTTTCTTCGGGAACTGAAACGTGCTTACGGTACCTACAAGTGCCCCAAATAAACCCAAAAATCAGACCCAGGGCCTACTCGACCAAATTTCGGAATTCCAGCACGGCGGCTCCGCCGTGCTCCGACGGTCGTGGCGCCGCTCACGGAGGCGATCCACCTCGAGTTGGTCATTTTCGGCCGAATTCAGCCGAACTTGCACCGGTTCCTGCGAGAAAACACACTTAGGGCCCTCGGTGGACCGAAAAAACGCAGAAAATCGAAACTCACCTGCGGTGGAGCTTTCAGGTGCGGCAGCTCCTCCAACTCACATTGCAGTTGGGTGTTTTACTTCGGTCAACCTGTAGAGAAAGAAACGGAGGTCACAACGGTGAAAAAATCACATCGAACGGGAGTCGGGAAGGGCCTCATCGGAGGCGTTTTCCAAAACACCCTGCGACGCCGCCGAAGCTGGCCAACCAGCCGGTTCTTTCACTCCGATTTGACCATGGGTGGGTTTAAAATTGAATTTCCTGCAAGAGAAGAAATTTTTACCTCGTTTGGTGGTCGAAAATTGCTCCGGTACGGTGGCCGGTGGCAGTGGTCGGCTCCCCGGCGGCTCGACTGTCTTCTCCGGCGAGGGACTCTGGCATTTAGAGTTAGAGTTTGGGTGCGGATGAGATTATTTATACCCATCTACTTTTGATCTGGGTCGTCCATCGCTTTTAATCTGGACCGTCCGATCGCAATTAAATAGGGAGTGAATCTGGACCGTTCATCGCAATTCAATCTGGGTCGTCCGTGCGTGATTTAATCTGGACCGTCCGTGCGCGATGCAATCTGAGCCGTCCGTGCGCGTTTTTGATCTGGGTCATCCATGCGCGCGGGAATAGATATCAGCCATTCAATCGCGCGCACACGGATCGCCCACGTGGCTCCCCCCACGTGGTCTCCTGCGTCAGCGCCTCGCCACCTGACACGTCCTGGTTGGTCGGGGCTGCTGACCGGACAGCTGACGTACGTAACTTTTATAAATTGCGTTTTGACTCTGATTTCCGATTTTTCTTTCAAAAATACTCATAAAATCTAAATTTTTACCTCTTTTTCCTAAAATTATTTTCAATTAAATTCTTAACCAATTTTTTTTACCTTTTTTTTTATTATTATTATTATTTTCATTAAATCAAATTAAAATTAAATAAATTAAATTAAAATCATATAAATAATAATTATATTTATAAAAAAATAATAATAATTAATAAAAATAAAAATAATGAAATATTGGGTGTTACAGCTTCTGCGATTACAAAATGTATTGTAAGTACAATTTTGAAGTCTGCTTGTTTGTAATTCTATACAAGAGGCCTTAAAAAGGTTATGGAAGACAAAATACTGGAAGAAGGTGACATGAATGTGTATAACTCCCTCTTTTTAATTTACAATTGCAGGATCGTGTTCAGAACAACTGGATCCTTCCTGATATACAACATGCTAATAACATATCCACAACTAAGAAAGCGATTACCTATTATTCCCAGTACAACGTCAAATTGCTGCTCATAAATCATCAAGTAAAGTTTGTGTGTTATTAATGTCATCAGCAGTACGGATTTGTGAAGTTAAATTTCTTACCACACTATAAACATTCTGAGTTCCCAGTTGTGAAGGTTCACTACAGAGAAAAGCATGTACTTGATTTTTAAGTTCAATCCAGCTGCATCCAGGTTGCTTTGTTCCTCCACTTTCTTCCATTGATATCCTCATTTTCTCTACCTGTTCCCATTTGCCTGCTTCAGCATGCATACTTGACAAGAGCACATAATTTGAAGTTTTGTGAGGTTCAAATTCTAGAAGCTTTTCAGCAGAAAACCTTCCAAGCTGTAGATTCTGGTATATTCGAGAAGCTCTGAGCAATGCTCCCCATATTCCAGCATTTCCTTTGATCTTCATTTCTTTCGCCATTTCAAAGGCTTCACTTAACAAACCGGCACGAGCTAGCATATCAACCACACAAGCATAATGTTCAGCCAGAGGTTCCAAAGCATACAACTTATTCATCTGTTTAAACAATTTTAATCCTTGATCAACCAGGCCAACATGGCTACAAGCTGATAAAACTCCAAGAAAGCTGACCTCATCAGGAACCACCCCTTCTTTTGTCATCTGTTCAAAGAGTTTTAATGCCTCTTCCCCACAGCCATTTATGGCATACCCAGAAATCAAAGAATTCCACGAAATGACATCAACTTGTTTGATACTATTGAATATAAGCTGAGAGTCTGCAACCCTTCCACATTTTGCGTACATGGTGATCAAAGCATTTCCAACAAACAAATTATTTCCATACCCACTCCTCACTACTAGTTGGTGACCTTGTTTCCCAACTTGAAGAGCTGACAAATTGGCACAGGCACTCAAAATGCATACAAAAGTTGACTCATCAAGTTTCATCCCTTCTTGCCGCATTAATACGAAACTTTTCAGTGCTTCCAAATAGAAACCATTTTGCAGAAACCCGTTAATCAACGAATTCCATGACACAGTATTTCGCACCTTCATCTTCCCAAAAATCTCAAGTGCTCTATTGATTTCTCCAATTTGAGCAAAACCAGCTATCATGGTGTTCCAAGTAACCATGTCCTTATTGACCATTTGTTCAAAAAGACAGTTGGCTTCATCCATTTTCCCACACTGAGCATAGCCTGCAATCATGGTATTCCAGCAGACCACGTCAGGTGTGTCAACTTGATTGAAAATTTGTCTAGCTTCATCCATTCTTCCATTTTGAGCATAGCCAGAGATAATTGCTGTCTGGGCAATAACACTCTTGTAAGGCATTTGATTAAGCAGTTTCCTTGCTTCATCAAACTCATTAACACGAACATACCCACTAATCATTGAACTCCATGAAACAGAATCCCTATCTGGCATTTCCACAAACAGCTTAAACGCCTCCTCCATTTGGCTATTCTGGATGTAAGCCGCAATCATTGCATTCCAAGATACCACATTTCTACTCGGCATCTGATCAAACACCCTCCTGGCCTCCACAACTTTCCAAGTCGAGCAAAGCCAGACAACATTGTAACCCAAGAAACAACATTCGGATTCGGAATCTTCCTGAAGTACTCCCACGCAAAATCCAGATCACCCACCGCTAAAAGTCCATCAACCATCAGATTCCAAGAAACTACGTTACGTTCTGTCATTCCCTCGAAAAACTCCATACCCAGACGCATTGCTCCATTCTGTGTATACCCAGAAAGCATGTAGTTCCACGAAACTATATCCTTAACGGGCATTTCATCAAACAAGCTCCTTGCATCATCAAGCCTTCCATTCTTTGCATAACCCACAATCATCGCATTCCAACAAGCCCTGTCTCGCTTATCTGGAAGCAAATCAAATAGCATTCTCGCCTTCTCAAGCTCCCCATTTCGGGCATAGCCAGTGATCATCAATGTCAGTGAAAAAGAGTCTCGGTTAGGCATTTTATCAAACAATTCGCAGGCTTCCTCCAGCTTTTCATTGTGCAAATACCCAGCAATCATTGAGTTCCATGACACCAAGTTTCTATAAGGCATTTTGTCAAACAGAGTCCGTGCACTGTTCAGTTTACCATATTTAGCATAAACAGAAATCATGGAATTGTATGTAACAGTGTTTTTCTGGGTCATTTGTGAGAAAACTTTGACAGCTTCATCGATCTGACCCAATTTCCCCAACTGAGTAATTCTCGTATTTTGGTTAAAGATATAGCTGCCTTGCTCGCCAAGTGATTTCAGCCTTCCTTTCATGGTTCAAAACTGTCTACGAAACCAATGCTGTGTTTAGATGATGTTTTTGGTGGGTAATTATACGGTAAAATATGGTAATTACACAGTATATTAATTATAAAGTTATATTATATTTAAAAAAATTATATATTAATATTTACCTATAATTATTTTATTTAGATTGATAAGATGGTATTAGTTAAATTTTTAATTTGTACATATAATATTAAATAAAAAAATAAAAGAAAAAAAAGTTTATTTAATTTTTAATTAAATTATTTAATTTATAAAAATATTTAAAGTATAATTTTTTATAAATTTTTTTATAAAATCTTAAAAAATAAATTTATTATAAAAATTAAAATTTTAAATTTTTTATACTTAATATAAAATAAATTTAAAATTAAATTTTTTTATTTACTATTATAAATTAAAAAAATCTAATAAATTATTTATTATATAATACTTATTATTATTATTTTTATGACATAAATAAAATAAATAAATAAATTTTATTGTGAATAATTTTTAATTTTATTAATTTTTAAATAATTAAATAACATAAATTTAATCAACTTACTTATTTCAATCATCCTCTTATTAATACGTATGCAATTACTCTTTTTATAAAAGAAAATACATAATCGCATAAATATTAAAATTTTAAAAATATAATACATGTTAAATCACTCAAATTACAAATTAAATATAAATTAAACAATAAAAAATAATAACATAATTTCATATTAAACATCCACTTTCTTAATTACATATTAAGCATCCAACACATTTTTTCTAAATTTCTTAAGTTCATACTAAAATCTTGTACTTCAACAATAGCATCTCCTGTTTTCAATTATCTAAAAATGAAAGAAATTAAAAATTAAGATTATAAATCAATAAATTTTATATTCAAAATAATATTTAATATAATTATTATTAGATGATTGAATA